TCATGCTTCACTGACAGTGGTTCACGATCAGGACCAGAGCCCTGGGCTGTTTTATTCTTTTCAAGCAGTGGCAATTTCCAGATGTTGGCGGGCCTGTTGTTGGCAGCATGTTGTCAAAACAGGCTCAGGTATACACTCCCAAATGATAGAGGGGAAAACTGGTAAAAGGACTAATTGAGAAGACAGGGAAGCCTGGAGTCGGGCAATTAAAGAGAAGATGGCATGTCATAGGGGATGAAAGTCTACAGCAAGAAAAGAACAAGACCGTCAGACTAATGGATAGTCAAGAGTGATAGACTTTCTACGAGAAAATAATAGTTGGCAGCAAAAAGGATGGCTGACAAAGATCCTATAGAGAATGAGGCTGCACGTTACAGAGAGAAAAGGGAGGAGGAAGAAACATCGAGAGGGAGAGGAGCGATGGTGATTCCAGCTGGACGTGGACCCATTCCCATGCGAGTGGCAATGCTGAGCAAGGCTCACACAGACCCTAAAGGGACCCCCCGGACTCACCCAGAAGAAAAAGGGAGGTAAAGAGGGCCTCGGGGAAGGCAGAAGTGAAAGTGAGCCAAGAGGGGGAGCACTGATAAGCACGAGGTAGTCCAACACACCCTGACAGAGGGAGGAGGGAGGAAAGATAGAGGGATTTATACATTATGCTTCACAAAGGGAAATGGGCTTATATATCATTGAAAAAGAGGAAATGGAAAAAAGTTGCTCAATCTCCCACTTACATTCAGACAGAATAGCTGTTTGCTAGCACACTCGTGATATAGATAGATAGACATTTATTTTCCAAAGAAGGTGGAGCTTGCGAAAAACCACAGCTAAAAATAATAAATCATTGGTTGTCATGGTTGAGGGCCATTTGACAATTGTATTAAATAACAGACAGTAACCACAAGTTTCACAGTTTCACACTTCTACAAACCCAGCTATGGAAACAAATGATGCCATTATTTCCTTTAACTTCGATACCTTCATTTACTCATCTCCCAAAACATAGGGAGGGTGACATATGACATCACATCGTGGAGAAAAAAACTGCAAGCATGTAGACTCCAAGGAATTAGACATTTGAGTTTTTTTACATGTCAAGAGCCGAGGCCAACATTAAAACCATCTGATGATTCTTACTAGGTTTCTTATTGTTTATATAAACTACAAATAGAGAAGTAGAAAAAAGAGGCTCAGAGAAAAGGGACATTCGGGATATGTACACTGACTTATCGGTAAAGCAGATCAGAAGAGGGAGGGGAGGAGTTAGCGCTGCTTGGTTATGGCAAAATTCATAATCTCGATTATTTGGGTCAATAATTGTAATTGCGATTATTAAATGCGATTATTCATTGCTTTGAAAACATCCATTTATTGGAGAAAAAAAATGTGAACAGTATGTTTTTAACAGTTGATTACCCTGAACTCTAAGTATAATTCAACTGGAAAAAATAATAAAAAAATAATCGTTTTATTTCGATTACGTTGTTTTCGTAATCGTTGGAAGCCGTAATCGCGATTAAAATACGATTAATGGAGCAGCCCTAGGAGGAGTAATTACTAAATTAAATGAGGCCTGGGTCTAAGCCATGTTCAAATTGACATTCAATTGAATGATAAATAAAAAGTTAAACCAGGCAAGGTTCTGCCACAACGCAATGTGATGTCATGTGGAAAGGCGCTGTGGTGGACTGCCTCACTTTAACACAAGGCTGTTTTTGGTTTGAATGCCCGCTAAGTCCCTGAATGAGCGTCAAACCAAAAGGAAGGATGGTGAAATAAATATGAAATTGGACTAGATTAGAAGATTCTGCTCTGTTTATGTGAGCAAACACCCATCCTCTGATCATTTCTTGGGACCACGTCCTGCAGTTTATAACTCCTGTAATAAAAGTAGAATTTAATCTTCATTTAATATTAAAGTGTCTGAACTCTGAACTATTGACAATAAATCTGCAGAACTTCAGTTACATCATTAACATGATATCTTATTCGCCCCGTTTGAGTTTACAAAAAGAACGTATATTGTGCCGGATTTAGAAATGCAAAACCAAGCAGCATTGCATTTTTGTATACGATTACGAGCATGGCCTTACAGTGGAGAGAGAAAAAAACAAGCGCAGTGAAAAAGGGGGGAGGAAGGGGAGGCGCGGTGAAAGAAGCGAGAGGGTGCTCGCCTGGCACAATGAGTCCTACTTGTTAGCCAGTGACAGTGTCAGGGATCGTGACAGAGTCCAGACGCTAGACACCAGCTGCAGCGCCTCGTAAATAGACTGCTGTCTCACAGGCACATTTGCACGGCAATGGTTGCACACACACATACACACACAGGCATGTGGGCACATGCATATACTATGGCAGGCACACAGACAGACACTGACTTATTGTCTATCCCAAATCTTGTAAAAGGGACAGTGAACCGCTTTGTGTCTTGTGTCCTGTTAAAGCTCATGTACTCCACACACAGGAACTCCAAACTCTCAACAAAACGCTATGAAAATAATTAAATATTTCTTAATAATTCACTATGGTATTCAAATATGACTAAATGTTGATTCTCTATGGATAAACTAAACAGAACAGACTTAGCGTTCAGTCAATGTGGCCTACACTTTTCCCCAGTTCTTTTGCCTGGATGTAAAGTTTTTGTGTGGGTGCAAGTTGTGTTCCGCCTCCCTCCACCGTGATAATTAGGGGTGTAACAAACTACATCTGCCCTGTGGTGCGTGGAGGAAAGAAATGCTGAAGAAAAAAAGAAAAAGAGATTAGGAGCGAGTTGAGAGTTTAAGGGGGAGAGGAGAGCCGAGCTGGACGGGAGGTGAAGGGGTTAAATGCGCGGGACTGATCCTGCTGAGCCAGCAGCAATACGTTAAAGTGCAAGGTTTCATTGTAGCAGATACAGAATGAAACTCCTTCCCATTAGTCACGTGAGTAACTGAAAAGACTCTTCGCACTGCTTAACCCTTGCTGCACCACGACAAAACCACAGCAACAACACAGGTGAAGCCCCTCTAATTGGGTAATGGCTTCTGTGTTTGTGTGTAAACTCACAAGCTCAATGGGATTATGGTAATTAAAGGGACCAAGTGTGCACACGGATGCAAATAAAACATTCTCTAACTTGATGCACGAGAGGAGTGTACGTCTGAATTTGCACATAAGGTTTTCACTTTTACCCCCCCCCATCCTCTTGTTGAGCAAGCCTCCCACGCCATGCTACAGAACACTCAGTCTCTGGGGGGCTTAGGGAGGAGAAGGCGAGCAGCATACCCTTTCTCCACTTAGAGCAAGGCAGAACCATAATCATCATAATTATCATCCTCATCATCACACTGTCCTAACCAAGACATACCACAGCAAAGCAAGTGGTGCACTGACAAAACAATGGAACAAACCAACCACGTAAGCAAACTCATAATGCGAGGCTGTAAGGTGAATCGGGTCATTACAAAAAATAAAGGAGCAAGTTGTACTGAGTTCTTCCTGTTTAGTTTTTATGTTTGTTTACACAAAATGGATACAAGCTGTCTTCATTTTAATGATTTAATCAGCTCAAGGCTATAGTCTGGCAACTTTCCCAAAGACAATGAAATCCCTGGATCAGGATATTAAAAGTAACGGACAACAGATTTCCCCAGTCTTTTAATTGGATCTCCATACTCTACACATATATTAATGTGACCTATCAAAAACACACACAAATGACACCTCTGGACTGAGGATATAAATGTGTTGACTCAGACCTCTATCCAGTCCACTTTTTTTCAGCTCTCCAAAATAAAATAAAAGCCATTTGAACCTCATGAAATCAAAATGGACATGACATGCCTGGTGATCAGCACACAAAACCCGGCCCTGGCGCTTTGTCTTCATTACAACAGGTCTGAAATGGCAATGCACTGACAGCTCCACATAAACTCAAAGAAGCCCTAAATGTCCCATGAGGGCAGAGTGAGGAGCTATTAACATTGTTCCTGGCAAAAAGCTCAGCAATAATAAAACAACTCTTACTATTCCTCATTCTCTCCTTTCATTACAACTCGGGTTACCATTAGCACCAGGTAACAAGAACATGTGGAAAGCAGCTTAACGTTGTTTGAGAGTAACAGTGATATAGAAGGCCTGCAAAGAGCTACACAATATAAACCGTACTGCACTGGAAACATACCTCAGATATTGTGTGGTTCAGAAAAAAGACTTAACTGACTTCAAAGCATAATGTCATATTGGCAGATGAGAGACTTACAATATACAAAACAGAGAATTGCAATATGCAGAACTTTCCAGAAAGTTATAAAATGGACACACCTCCTCCTAACTTAAAGGCAGAGGGTGTGTATGAGGGGTGGCAAGGGTTTCCAAAGAAATTCAACCATCCAACGGGCTGATCTGACAGAGCCCCTTAAACCTGCATCTGCACAACTGACAAGAAGAACTTTTACCAAAATGGAAACACATACAACTGAAATGATGCCACCTTAGATGGTATACAAATTGATATCACCATTTTGACAGTCCTCGTTCAAGTGAGTAAGACCGCGGAAGACTAATTGTTTCTGTTAATACAAGAGCGCTTTTGTGTACTTATTTATATACAGTATGTAATAGTTTATACTAGGCCTGCTCAATTAATCGTATTTTAAATCGCGATTACGATTATTGCTTGCAACGATTACGAAAACAACGTAATCGAAATAAAACGATTTTTTAATTATTATTATTTATTTTATTATTGGTTTTTCAGTTGAATTATACTTAAAGTTCAGGGTAATCAACTGTTAAAAACATACTGTTCACATTTTTTTTCTCCAATAAATGGATGTTTTCAAAGTCAATGAATAATCGCAATTACAATTATTGACCCAAATAATCGAGATTATGATTTTTGCCATAATCAAGCAGCCCTAGTTTATACTGCCAATGCCTGACGTCCTACTGTATGAGGGGACACCACTTAGAAATAAGGTATATATATATATATATATAATACACTTTTTTCTTACTCCAGTCTTGTCACAGAGCCGCAGGGTGTTGAAGGAGCCCACAGCGAACAACTCTCCATCTGGAGCCCAGGACAAAGAGGTGACTGGGTAGTCATGAGATGACGAGGAGTAAAGCACACGGCCAAAGCTGTCCCACACCTGATAAGGGAGTATATGGTTTAAAAAAGTTTTAAAAAATATATATATATATTAAAATAATATAAACGCAAACACGGCCCACCTTATATTTGCAGTCTTCTCCACCTGATAGTATGAGGTCATTAACTGAATTCCAGTCCACCTTCAGAACAACCCCATCATGGGCCTTCCACTAAAGGGAGGAGAGAGAGCATTTTATTCCAACATGCATACATAACTTCTCACTTATGTTGAAGAGCAGTGGGGAGCAATGAAACCCTCTAATTTTACCGAGTCGAAAAAAGAGAGACAAACTTAAGATGAGCAGGATAAGCTCCAGAGAGAGTAGCATTATTGTTGTTCTTAGACTATGTGCCTTTCTTGTTCCTGTTCCCTTTCCATGCATACGCTCTATCATTTATCTATAGTACCTTACTTGCTCATTTGATGCATCAAAAGGAAATCCACGTAAACACATGCATTTGTTTGTTGTGTGTTTCTATGTCTTTGTAAGAGATTGCAGAGATCAAAGAAGATCCTTTGGAGAGTCCAGTTTGTCTCAAACCTATCTTATCAGATACCCAAACCAGGTCATTCTTAACCCATGTTAACCCATTTCAAATAAAGCCAACAAAGGTTGAACTAGCATCACTGGAGGTGATGTGTGTGCTTGTGACCACGTGTCATACAGCAAAGGTACGAGAGAGCAAAAGGTTTAAAAGAAGCAAATAGAGACCCTCAACTTAAGCGCTTTGAGCACAAGGAAAAGCGCTATATAAATAACATGTACTATTATTATTATTGTTATTATTATTATATAAGGTCCCAGGAGGTGTCCAGAATCAAAAATAATAATATAAAAATGTATATGTGAACAAGGAAAATCCTTACTGGTGTTCCAGGTTGTCAGTGTTGCCCCCTCCCTAGTACAACAGCACTCAAAGACTCATAGATCTATTGTCTTTATTTTCTTTAATTTAGCCTTTGTAATACAAATCAATAAACCTCTAGTTTAATTTACAAAGACCTGAAAATAGGTAAAGGGTCCAGTGATGTCAGGTACTCAGGCAGGTAAAGTTATTGCTATACAAACGCGAGATTAAAAACAAGTTTCAGTAACATATACATATAACACATATATTCTAAAACCCTGATGTATAAAATCTTAAGTGAACATTTACTTAAGTCACATATCTATACCTCTTGAGAGAGAGTACATTAAAAAAAATGGTGTACCTGTATGACTTTGGCACTGGGTTGCAAAGGCTTGATGACTAGCTGCCTCCCTGAGGTGTAGAGGATTCTGTCTGAGTCTGGACCCCAGGCCACAGAATACACAGGAGACCCTGAAAGATGCAAAGACAGAAGATTAACAATGGTGTGTTACTCAAACCAAGAGCAATAGATTGTGCTTTCACACATAAGGACTTTTGTCTCTTCCTCAATGTAATATTTAAAAGATGAAAATGGAAAACTGTGTGAGTATGAATATCTCCCTCCCTCTTTGACACACTAGGAGCTGGTACGAACAACAGCTCGAGGGTACAGCAGTGCTAATTCCTCCTCAGAAGGTATTATATTCCCTCAGAGATCTCACCTCATTCAGCCGGATGGAGCGGCACTTAGCTTGCAGGCACGTCAGCTGAGAAAACCTGTCTGACCTCTACAGTATAAGCCCAAACGAGGGGAAAGTGTGTGTGTGTGTATGAGTTGGGTTGTGCCTATGTGCGTGTGGAGGGGAGAGGGCTTGACATTTAACCCCACTCCAGGTGCATGTGGTTCCTCACAAATGCCAACTGGTCACATGATCTGACAAAGGCGATGAGAGGGGTTGAGGCAAGTTGCTTTCTCCTCCCTCTTGCATTTCGAACTTCATCCTACAGCTCTCTCTCTCTCTCTTCAAATGGGTCATACTACCTAAGAAGAACAGCCTTCTCCTATGGTGTGTGTGTGTGTGTGTGTGTGTGTGTGTGTGTGTGTGTGTGTGTGTGTGTGTGTGTGTGTGTGTGTGTGTGTGTGTGTGTGTATATGGTGGTGAAGCAACACCTGCAGTGATCTGAGTGCCATGTGGAGTATGGTGTGCAACTGTGCCAAGTCTACTATATCCAGGTGCTTTACAAAGCCTGTAGGTCTGCAGCTCATTCTCTAAACAACCAGCTAAGGAAACTGTTCCTAACTTCTGGGGCTGAATTGCTTTGCCCCAGCCAGGTTTTCCACAGCATCCGTCATTCAGTAGGAGTGTGCCATCCATTTCCCCAGAAGCCACATTTCATTCACCCCCCCCCAACCCCCATCTCTTTTTCGGTCCCACAACAGAGAAAAACCTTTAATAAGTCAAGCAGCATGATGAATTCATTAATAAGTACGCCATCTGTGAGGAGAACGCTGGATAGAGAAATGTATCATTCATTAGGAGTCTTTTTTATGGCTTTTAATAAAACTCCACTCCCATAAATCTTTGCAACGTCCTGGTTTTTTTATATAATAAAAAACAACAACATGGAGCTTTTGGTTGAACTGAGCACAGTTACGTTCTAATAGACTCAGCATGTACACACTGCACACAATCCAACAGCCAAGGAGAGGATTAAAAAAGCATTTCCTCCTTGAATGTCATTTTACCTTGAGTTTAATACAGAAGAAAATCTTGCAGAAAGCTCAGGGAGTGTGCTAACCCCGGCACGCGTGCATGTGAGGTGCCCATGTATGCAAAAATCACAGATAGACTTTTACAATGAAAAAGAAAATATCAGTGCAACATATAAAATAACAGTATATTACAATCTGAGAACACATTAGGTGTTGCTATTTATTTGCCATCTGGGTACAAATGTTACAGTCAATTTGCCAGGCTAATTTACTGGGGGTTATTCTGGGTCTGGTGCTAAACAAAAGCCAGAGGAGGAGGTGAAATTGTGTGTCAATACAGCAGCAGAAGGAGAAGGCTCCCCTGATTCACGTGTATAAAACTGAAGTTCTTTGCGCCTGCTCCTCTCGTCAAGTGTCTGATTTTTGCTCTTGTTCTCTCGATCACAAGATGCGCTGAGCCAGAAGGTCCTAAGGCAATCACTAGTACTATGCGCGTGTGTATGTAAGAGATACAGAGGCAGACAGACAGGCTTGTACAGGGTATACGCAGGAATCCTGAAGTCAAATGTAATACCTTTCAAGACCTTTTTTAAGACCCTTTCCATACATTTTAAGACCTCATCGCCACTTTGAGTTTTAACCGGTTACATTGGCGACACACTTTACCTCACATTATATAGTATTGATTGTCCTTCCTCCTTATCTTCCAACCATTTGGACGCAAACTTGCATTTCCCCATAACGATGTTGTTTAACAACCGGCGTAAACGGACCTTCGCGCGCTATCAAGCAGTGAGCGTGCGATGTCCTGTTCAGATGACGTCAAATCCAACGGGATGCCATAAATAAACTACACAGAATCACACTACACACCTACGCAATGATTACATTCAGGCAGACGTTAGAATATAACCTCTTTGGACAATTTATATACTTATTGAAAACAATTTACAAAATGTAATACCTTGGAAAATGCCGTTTAATACTTTTTAATAGCCTTAATCTTCGCTAAATTGATTTATCAACCTGGACCTTTTTAAGACCCCGCGGACACCCTGCTGTAATTGTTGTTGGGCTATGTTGTGTTGTGTTAACTAAATGCCTGCAGCTGGTTGGTCAGAGCTTCACATGGCTTCTGATGCTGGCTGGCAGCTGTTGTGGATGTGACCTGCTTTAAACTTCATTGGTCTAAACTCAGATTGGCTTTTTCTTCCACTGTCATTCAAATGATGAATTATAAATCATCTCTTATACCTTTAAGACTTACTTGTAGTTGTCAGTCTTGCAAGTATTGTAAAAGACGGGCATCAGAAGACATTTTGTTGACAACATAGTGCAGAGGATGCCAGCATAACAATTATGTGCTAAGCTTTGTGAATTTATTTTTGGGTGTGGTTAGGTGAATATGATTAATTACGGAGAGTAGTTTCACCCAAGCACTTGATACATAAATGTTTAAAATCAGATAAAGGAAAGGTCTTTAGCCTTACCTTGGCTGGCGAGTGTTGAGCGTAGCATCCCACTTTTTGACCAGATCTTGATCTGCCCATCTTCTCCAGCTGAATAATAAAATACAGAAAGAGATATAAAGATTTTCTTTCTTTCTTTTTGATTAATTCACAAACATTATATTTCAAGTAAAAGTTATAGCATATGTGCTTATATAAGCTTATTAAACCAATGTTTGTTTTTTTAAATCCAAAAGAATATATGTATATCTCTGTAGTCTTTACCTGTAATAAGAGCAGTGCCATCGTAGTTCCATCTTCCAGCCAAAACCGCTCCTTTGTGAGCTTCAACACTCTTCTCAACGCGCCCTATTTTCGAGGTGAGGTGGAACTTCCCTGTGAAGAGGCAGAACAGGCTTATAAAAATATTCTATGCGTGATTTGGATGTTAGCAGTCAATAATTCAGGAATATTAACATCTGCGTTATACTCTAGCTACTATGTGGCTGCTGTTTACATAGACTATATGTTTCCATAAGTCTGATTGGTTCAGGCTGCTGCATCAAGCAAAAGCACACACTGTTTGTAAATGATCAAACTAGGACTGTATAGTCCAGGACTGTAAATAAATATACAAGAAGCAACAAAGCTTCATTTCCCCCTCTCAGATCATCTTAAAACATATAGCATATATGACAGCTTAAGGGTTTCAGTTGGTTGAAATGGGGACATTTTGTATTTGCTAGACAAGAAGGGTGATCAGGCATGGAGACAGTTATTGAAAACGCTAGCCTAACATATATTTTTGTGGCAGTGTGTATTAAAACAATTCTAAATCTGGCCTAAAACTGCAAATCAGCATGCTGCAGCTCTCCCACTGCTAAATGTGGACATGCCAACAAACGTGGATGTTACTGGTCCAGCAGGTAGTGAGTATAACAGGAAAGTACAGCTGTACTTAAAGACTCTTTTGAATGAATGTAATATTACAAAGATTTACTCACATATGCACTGACTCAGTCTCATATTTGAGTGGTCATAACGTTGTCTGTGCAATGCTTCTGTTTTTGCATTGATCGTTTCTTGTTGTTCTAAAATGTGTATGATAACTTGAAGTTAAAATGTATTAACCCCTTGCCCTTTTATTTCTATTTATATAGGGTTGGTTGCAACATTCCTGATGATACATTTGTGGGAAATCATAATAACACCACATGCAGTTCAACGGGGTTAAAGTGAATGAGACTGTTGTTCCAAACAGACAGCCAAAGCAATATCCTTCATGCTAAATGATTCAGCTTTAGGACAGTCTGGTACTATTCACCACAATATCCTTTCTGAAGAAAATCAGTCATGCAATCATGCTTTGCCATGAGAAAATATTACACAAACTAAACACTTAAGTTTACTTATTATTTTGATGTTTAGAATTTGATGTGATGTTGAATATTCTGTTTCTGAGAATATAAGATTACACACAAAATGTGAAACTAAATGCAAATGTTGTCAAAATGTGAAACTAAATCCAATTTCCCCCCGTAAAGAAAACAATAGCTAACTTATATTGTATACTGTTAGAAGGTAAAAAGCAAAAGTAAGTTGCAAAAGTGAATCTTAACAGAGTGTTCACTACTACTCCTTTGTCTGGCAAAGAAAATTGCTGCTTCAGTCTGTGGGTGTGTTTATGCAACCCTACACTGCCATTAGTGTTGTGACCTCACATTGCCTGCCATAAAAGAACATCCATATCATGTGTGTTTATATCTAATATAGGCTGAAGAGAAATAAGAGGCCATGTGGATGCATGACACAAACACTACCCATATAAATATGCAAAACAAAAATGAACTTTTAGTGATTTGACATTGAATATCAATAAAACTACAGCAGGTTGTAGTATTTCACTCTTTAGTGCAATACTACAATCCTCTTTTGAAGTTAAATCATGGAAATAAATATGCCTGTATGCATCATTAAACTGGTGGAGGCTATTTAATTAAACTACAAGGAAAAACTCCTGAGTCATTACCTGATTTTTCTAATGATCAAGGAAGACCCTGGGTGTTAACTCAGAATAACAATCAGGCTGAACAAACTCTGTAACCATTCATTATGTTTAGTTACATGAGTTTAGTGGTTAACTTAACATTTGATGGTTACATTCAACATAAAGTTGTCGAACTAATTTTGCACTGACCCTTCTCATGGGGCTGTTAACTAAATAAACAACTTGTGAAACAAAACTGACTTTGATTTTATGAATACACTCAGATACAAATCTTTGAAGCATGCTGGTCTGGTTGTAGAGATTAAAAAAACTTGCCATCAGTGCTGGTAAGGACAAAGATCTCAGACTGGTTCTGTTTCTTGCCACCAACGGTCTTAGGGAACCAGTGTAGATCAATGGGGTAAATGTCATCTGGCAATTTGACAACTAGATTGGTCTCACTGGTCAGCAGGTTCCACTTAAGTATCTGATGGTCCTCACTGCATGAGTACAGCTCATCTGCTGAGGTCCAGCCAACACAACTCACAAGTTCCTTATGTGATCTGCTGTTAAGGAAAGTGTTAGAAAGGTAGGCATATGTATTTGTAATTGGTCATTCGAAATCCCATGGTTGATTTTGCAATAAATAGGGACTTTTGAAAATAGAACAAGTTCTAGATTTAGCAGAAGTTAGGTGCTAGGTCGACCCCAGCAAATAAATACAAGGCTTAAATGACTACACTTGTAAATATAATAATACTTACTGTGGGATATATATAAACGAATTATGATTCTGATAACACGTATAGTGGAAACACTTTCAAAGTGTTGACGTTGAGTTATTTGAACTGTACAGAAACGCAATGTAAGGTTGGTAAACGACATCGTAAAAAGGATATGTTTGGGTTCCTGTAGCAACGACGTTTTCAATCTCATGGTGGATGTTTGCTCTGTTGATCCCTAAACGAACAAGACATTGTCAGTTAGTGAACGCCCTCTCATATAAAACCTCTTTATAACACAACAATGTCAAAAACAGAAAGAAACAACATAAACATTCAATCCAAAACATTTAACCGTACCCTTAATATATGGCGACTTAGCTGTTAGCATGCTCTGGTAGCTCTCTGTAACGGTGGATGAAACAAGCGTCTGCAGTTGCTACGGTCCATGCCACCGTTGCTAACGTGAATCCTCAGATGTCCCAGAGCCTTGCCTGCTACTTGATTGCTAAAGTTAACTTGATTTTCTGCTTATAACGGACATCCTTCTGTCGTTACCGACTGTAGTTATGGGACAGCCAGCAATGTATGCGTATCACTTGGTCCTGCAAATATGCATGAATAGTTATTAAAGTATACAGAAAGCCTATCCATCACTTATTAGCAATTCCTCGCTCAAGCTATCCATGCTAACTGCTGGTAGCCATGTAAAATGGGTCATGAGCGTCATAAGAAGCTAGTTGAAACGCAAGTTATCGCGAGAGTTGTGTCATCGAAAACAAATATTTCGAATGATTTACCAGTATAAATGGCACATTTAAAATGAATGTTCGTAATGGCACTCAATAAAATAACACAACTCGCCCATTGATCGAATAATACTTCCTCGAATGTAAAACTGTTCCTCTGGGCGGGACTTTGTTCTAATGTAACCAGGCAACCGTTTGGACACGTAGAAAGTTTACGCTTTGAATATATGACAATAATCTTACTCAATATACCATTGTGAAAAGCACATATTGTTACTTTCTGCGTTTTCCAGTTTTGTTATTTGTGTCGTCTTATTATTGTTTATTTGGAGCGAGGCGGAGTTGGCTTCGTCCCCTTTTTTGAATTTCGTGTTTTTTTCCCCCCTGCCCTTTGAACGTTCCATGGTGCCTTGCGTCAGTTTGTAACGAATCTGGTTCGACAGCACAGTTTAGGCGCCATTTACAAGTTACAGTTTTCAAGTAGGAGAGCGACTCGGAATGACACGGGCTATATTTTATGGATTATATTAGCCGATTTTGGATTAACGAATACTTTTTCCGATTACCTGATTTGGGTCAGAAAGGAAGACTATTAACAGACCGTGCTTTTATCGTGGAAGGTATATTGAAACACTTTAGCTGAGAGTAAGTGAATGACTGGGTTCCGTCTATTTGCTGAAACGCATAACTTTAGCTCCCAACCTTAGTTAACATTAACAACGCGATACGTTTCAACATTAGCTCAGATTAAAAACGTAATGACTAACAATACTGCGGTATGTAACGCGAAGTGGTCTGTTTTTTGCCTTTTATTACATTTAACGCAAGACGTGCCTTGTTGTAGTCACACACGCCCCTGGCTGAAATATAACTTTTCTAAGCTAACGTTAATGTTGCTATGCTAAACGTTAAATTGCAGAAATACTTTTGGCTGCTTAAAGTCAACCACTTTAGCGTTTGGCAATGTTATTTATGCGAATACCATATCAATTCGCCCCTTTCAATTGCGATACGGTTCACATTGAGTACAGTATGCTTTACAGTGTTTCGGTAACGTTACACATCCAAGACGAAGATAGGTTTGATAGTCAAAGTTTGCTATTTCATTAGCATGCTGCATTATTTTACATCTGATAGTTAGCTACAGCTGCTAACTTCACGTTAACATTAGCCAAGTCAGCTCATTAACGTGGCAAAGTTAACAATAAATGCGTTTATCCTGTGGCCGAGCAAGCGTTACGAAAGTACTTATCTGCATAGGTACATGTAGTTATAACGTTATATTGACGTTACATTCGTTCTTTGAATGAGTTAGCGAGTTAGTGCGTGTGCACCTCCGCCCCCAACATAACAGTGGATTACATTTGATATTGGTGTCAGTTTAAGCTCTTCGTTTAATTTAGGACGTTGCGTCTTAACCACCGGGTAGTGAGCCAGTTTAGCTAAAGTAATAACGATACAACATAGAAAAGGTTGTGCACTTTGGGAAGAAAATGTAGCTATTTGCATATTAACAGGGTTTTCCTGTTAGCGTTACGTTAACAATATTTTCCGTTTTTCCCATCATTGCAAGGGTCATTATTCGTTCAACTTTGTGACGCAGAAATAAAAACCTACATGTGATGCAGAGGGGTACTGAAACGAATCTGTCACAGCATAGGAAGTTATTAATTTGTAATGTTTGCTGTTAGAATATCATCTAATTTGTTACAATCAATCAGGCAGTTGTCAGTCTGATCTCTTTACTGATATTATCAGGGTGATATCCTTTGTTTAATCACACGTCAGGTTATACACATGATGATTCATGTTCTTACTGTATGTTTTGATGTAAGTAAAAGAGGGAGCGAGAAAAAAATCAAGCTATGGTCCAATTAAAAACATATACCGACTAACAGTTGGATAGGGCGGCAGGGGGATCTGACTGTGGAAATGATTAAAGCCTGGTAGCTGCGTGTGACCGACTAAAAGTGGAGTTGGGAGATTGACAGGCACAAAAATCACTCGTGGATAATCCTTTTTTCTTTTCTTTTTTACCAATGACCCCTTTAGATTTAAAATCATGCCATCTAAAACGGCAAAGATCTCTACTGCCTCCTCCAAGTCAAAAGGGAAAGGGTCGCAGCCCCGGGATGACTCCGAAGACGAGCTGGATGTACCCCCTCCACAGACCAAGTCCAATGGCCAAGAGGAGGCACCGCCGACAACTGGCAAGTAACAAAGGCTGTTTTGGTGTCTGTGAATCTAAATAAGTTGTGTTCACTCAATGGCGTTGCGTGTACTGCCGTTCTGTTAGTGGCCAATTGCCACAGCTGTGAAGCTTTTTTTCTTACTTAAATCTCAACACGTAGTTATAATGGCTGATCATTTTTTAAATAAAGTGTCAGTCATCAATACATGTCTTATGATTTTTGAGATGATTTTAATATCGTCGAGTTTACTTCTTCCCCGGACCTTCTCAACAAACGAGGTAAATTATTTCGGGTTATGGAGGGTTTTATGTTGTAGATCAAAAGTATGTTTTACGTTTTTCTTATAACTTGCAATTTGTAAAATAAATGGTATGACAAGATTAAGATACATAACGGCATTAAGTGATGTGTGTATTCTTTGGAATACGTTGAAATTGTTCACTGTGTGTGACTGCATGCATTTAATTAAAAAAACATCGACCCCTCAGCTTGTTTATGCTTCTGTGAGCACAATAGATTTTGGACAGGTCGTTGTGGCTTGGTGTGATGGCAACATAATCGGTTTAACGTTATACATTATTATAAATAAATAAAACGATTGCCTCCCTGCGTTTGGCGTGCAGTTCAGCATGAGTAAATGTGTAACGTTGATGATAGAAATGTGGAATTTACTTATTTATTATCGACGAAATGAATGTGGCGTATCTACGTTCTCGTATGAACGCTTCTCGTGAAGAGCGTTTGTATTTTAAAGTGGGTTTGTTCATAAGCGGCCATGGTCTTTTTTCTTTTATGGCTTTGCTCTTGTTTTCAGAACAAAGAAAAAATAACGCCTGTCAACTTTCTCGGAGTGTCTGTTTGACTGCGGTTGTAACTTGCTGCCTGTGTTTTGTTTGTTTGTTTTTTTGGCTCCTCCACCCCTCCCCCACGCGCCACTGTCCCCCACCTGAAACGACACGCACAGGGGAATAAAAGTTGTACTTTTTCTGTGCCACAGATGCGTCTCAAGGGGAAGCTGCCGAGGCGGCTGATAATCGGAGTTTGGAGGAGATTCTCGGCAGCATCTCTCCACCCCCGCCCCCAGCGATGACCAATGAACCGGGCGCTCCACGACTGATGATAACGCATTTAGTTAATCGCAACTTTAAATCTTACTCAGGAGAGCAGATTCTGGGGCCTTTTCACAAGGTATGATCTAACATTCTTACAAATGTCATCCCATTGTGGGAAATACTTTGTTAATGTGTTGTTTTAAACTCCCAGATTTACCATCATTCTAGTGTTTCTCAATTTTATTTAAATAAAGTCATATTGCTCAACTACCTGTGCCTGTGGACATGTTGCCTGGAAATACATACAAAATAAATAAATAATTGTTTATACTACATTATAACATTTAATTGAGTTATTAAAAAAAATAGGTAGGAAAAGTCACATTCCTCCATTTTGATTTAGTGAGTGCATTGTGCAAGGGGTAGTGATGTGCTGACATATCCCATCAATTATATATGTTGTTAAACTTTGTCTTTTGACCATTTTCTGATCCCCCCTGTGCGCTGCGAATATAAGTGTATTAAAGTAAATCTTCACTACACCCTTTTGGAAAACATTCACTATCACAAACTAACTGTTTAAATTGTAACGTATAGCCTTGTATGACATTTACAGTATTTACTTGTGGCTGCAGTATATTTTTATATGATTGATTGACCTGTTTTTTTCTCTCCCCCACCTTTCTCTCAGCGCTTTTCCTGCATCATTGGTCCAAATGGGAGTGGGAAGTCCAATGTGATAGATTCAATGCTCTTTGTGTTTGGATATAGAGCTCAAAGAATCAGATCAAAAAAGCTCTCAGTGCTGATTCACAGCTCTGATCAACATAAGGATGTGCAAAGCTGTACTGTGGAAGTCCATTTTCAAAAGATAATTGATAAGGTATATATCTGTCACACAGATGTAAATTACACTCACTCTATCAATTTAGGAGAGAACACAATTCATTTCGCCTGGGGGGGTGACCATTCATATTTCCTTGTAGTTAGATGTTGTTTTTTTGTATTATATGTTGTTACTCCTTGATCATGATATAATATTGCCACACAATGATCAGACCCTTGATTAAACCGAGACTCAAAGCAGTCATGAAAGTTCCAACTACCACCTACACATGTCATAGTCAATTCACAAAGGGGCTAGGATTGAGTCCTCTATCTTACACATAAGCTGTATTTATTTGATGGTACTGTGAATTTCAATAACATGGGTGTTATGACCATTTATTATTAGCATTGGATCACATGTCAAAACTCCTGACAAAAGTGTAATGAATTAAAAGTTAAAAAAAATCTAAATTTGATCTGCCACAGAGTTTTAGTTTTGTCTTGACCCCTGTAACATTTCTGATTCTTCTCATTTTCTAAGCCTTTCTTTATTGTTAAGCAGTTCCCATTAAATTAAAATGAAATTACTAAACTGATTTCTATACATTCTGCTGACTTTACAATCTGCTCTTTTTTTTTTATTTATTAAAATTATTGTTAGATGTGATGTAGACAACTTAGATTATTTGACCTGTTATTATTACTTTTTTAGCCAAATAATCGATGTGTTTGCAATGCGTTTATAATCTCATTGTATCTGACACATTTTGAAAATGTGGTACATTTAACTGGATATAATACACTAACCTGATGTGGTTTAACCTGTAATTGTATCTGCCCTAGATCTGTGTTGTGCTTTTAAACAAGCCTTTTTGTTGATTGTTTTTAATATTGAGTGTTTTTGTCTAACCACTCTCAGTGGATTTGTCAGTATTAGGGGCATGATCATTTTATGAGTAGAGCTGTTAGAGTTTCTCCCCAACTGTTCTGCACTAAGCTGCTCTCTGTCTTCTGCTCCCCCCCCCCCCTCTGAGCCAGGAAGGAGATGACTACGAAGTCATCCCCAACAGCAAGTTCTATGTTTCCAGGACGGCCAACAAAGACAGCTCCTCAGCCTATCATATCGGTGACAAAAAAGCCACATTCAAAGAAGTGGGGGTTTTACTCCGAAGCCATGGCATTGACC